TCATTAAAAGAATTATTAAAGGGAAAGAAAATAAAATAATACTAGTATTCTTCAAAATAATAACTATAATCAATAATATGAATCTTCATTTATCAATATTGAAATAGTTAAAAGAATGGCAGATAGAAGAAAAAAAACTATTTATATTCTTAATGTTCACCATTCTCGATAGTCTCTAACCTATAAATGACATGTATATATAGATTCATTAGAAAGAATTATTTTTTTTTCAATATAAAAGTGTCAAAGGTCTAAGTACTAGTCAATATTATTATAAAAAAAAAGTTATTTTTATGTGAAAATTTTTATTATTGTACGAAAAAGAGGTAATCAACAGGAATGACATATCTACATTTGAAAACTTACTTTAAAATAAAATTAAAATTTAATAATTACGCTGAAGATGAAACCTGACGAGCGTAAAAAATATTTATGGAATAGACGCAAGCTTGTAATTGCAAAATATAATCTGCCGTAAATATAAGTCAAGTAGATGTAAAATGTCAGGAAAATAAATGTAAGTAAAATGGATTTTATTAATCTAGATATTATAAATATGGTATTGAATAAAAAACAAACTACCTAATAAATTCTTTGAGATTTTCCTGTCTATTCCAGGTCACATAAATATAATTGAAAATTCTCTTCAACCGAACATACTTAGTACTAAGTAGCTATCATATCATTATCATGCGTAAACGTTGAAAAGGAATTGATGAAGGAAAAATGAGCATCCGTTCATTTATATAAATGTCTATAGTCGACAAGAATATTGATGAACAGTTTCCTCTTCAAAATAAAAGACGAGCTATATAAAAGCATTGTATTAATTTTGATTGTTCTGTTTGGATGTTTCTCATAAAAATAGAGCATATTATTAAATATTTATAAAAAACAAATAGAATATGTTCGTATATTTCTAACTTTATTAGACAAAAAAAAGATTGTGCAATTATTTATCTTTTCAAACAAATTTTTTTCTCCTACAAAAAGAATTAATTAAACTTGATTTATGAAAAAAAACAGGACGTCGTATAGCAGAGTATTATATTTACAAGCAGCGTCGAGCGCAGAACGGGAAAAAAAAGAGAATGTTCTGTGCAGGTGTCGAACCTGCGACCTTCTGCGTGTTAAGCAGATGTGATAACCGCTACACCAACAGAACTTCGAAGTCTATAACGTTTTTTGGGCTATATAAACAGTTAAAAATGGCTATAATATAAATATCATTTAATAGAATCAGGTTGATGAGATGTTTCTATTATTTGTTTTGTCTTTTGTATTGAATTTAAATTATTTTGTTTTCGATATTTTTGTATAAATAAATTTATCAGACATATTAAAATAATAAAAGAAATAAAACTAAAAAATAGAATAATCATAATATTATTAGAAGATTTATTTCGTTTAGGAATCGTTCCATTATTAATTGTTATATTATTTGCAATTTGATATAAATCAGATATAGTATTTATATTCCACATAGATTAAAGATCATTATTCGACATTTTAACTGCAAGTTAAGAAAAAAAAATATTCTGCGCTTTTTTTTTCCTAATATAAATTTTATCAGGATGATATATTTTCAATAGGAAGAATACAGATATACTATTAATTGCAGATCATAAATTTTAATGGTCCCGAAAAACTTCTTCGTCAAAGATTAAGAATCTTATTATCAAAAACAAAAACAATTCTCAATGATAATATAAATTTTATTATATAAAAATCCTTGAATATTCTTATCGTCTAAAATCAAAATCATTATGAGCATGTGTTTAATGCTATAATTATAAAAATTTAAAATTATATTTATTCATATTATATGAATTATGTTTAAATATTTATTGCATAGTTAACATTTTTGCATCTTTTATTTACACTGAATAACATACATTAAAATTCAAACGTCATATTCGTTTTATCATGTGATTTTATTAACAAATCATGAATATTAAAATAAGCGCATTTTGTTGATACTTATTACGAATTTAAATTTTTTTCTATTGTATTTTGTATGATTCAGATGAAAACTATTGATTCTACTCTATGCACTCGTTACTATTGTAACGGACACACCTTTTTACATTTTCTTCGCATACAATGTATTCTTCTTTTGAAATCATTGTTCGTAACCATGGTAAAATGAAAAGAAAAAAAAAGTTCACGCCGTTGCTCTTATTCTGTAAAATGTATCTCAAAGCGACAATAGACATTGACCATTTGTGGTCATCGGTTAAAGAAGTTCAATCATTTGAGGGAACCATGGAAACTATTGTAGAGGCACACACTGTAAAAATCGCTATACGTCGCATAAGACAGTGAATCTGTCTATTGTCTAGTTTATATATAACTTAGACATATGTCTCGTCTTCGTTTTTAGACAGTTAGATGTACTAGATAATGATGAATTATGTAGTATGATATTCGTCGAGCAGTTACAAGTGTTTAGACGTTGCTCTTTTATATTTATATTTAATTAAGCCTTATTTCAATTATTCTTCAACTTTATCTAATTAGTTCGCTTTAAATAATTATTTACACTCTTTTACTCTCTATGTTTGTTATAGATTCAGATATAAAGAACGTAGTAAGTTTAATATTATTTTTAGAAAAAATCATTCAATAGCGTATGCGTAAGAGTTTCAATGATTAATCTGATCACAAACTACTTCTGCATACGCCTTGAGCTTTTAGAATGAAACGGTTGGATTCTTTTAAACGTCGATTACATGCCATTGTAATATTCACGTGTTTCACGTCGCTTTTCCATGCGACCAATAAGAAAAAAAGAATCGTAAATTTCTTTTTTTAAACATACTCACGATAAGAGCAACAGCAGAGGAGAATGAGTACACTCAACAATACTATTCTATTCTATTCTATTCCTTCTAGAACAACCATCACAGAAAGAAAAAGTTATTCCTATAAATAGCAGTACTTTTTTCATTTCAGATTCATTCATCGTTACTTTTACTACAACTACTCGTTTTTACATACAATACTTTAAATATTATCAATATGTCTGAAGGAGCACATCAACTCGGAGACAAACAATCTAATGATAAGAAACCAGAAGATCCATCTCACCCAGGTATGGATCCTGATCCAGCTGAACGAGGTAAACAACTCGGTCATGAAAATGCTCAAGGTGGTCAATCTGTTGGCACAGGTGGACATGGTGGTGTTGGCCATTCTGGTATGTAGTTTTATAATTTGAAATAAATAATTTTGTTAATTGATATATTATATATTTCAACAGGCGGTAATCAACCCGTCGGTGGAAAACATGCATCAGATGCATCTAATTGCAGCGAACAACAATTACATCCAGGCATGAATCCTGATCCTGCTGAACGTGGTCGACAATTAGGACATGAAAATGCTCATGGTGGACATTCTGTTGGTACAGGAGGACATGCACCAAGTGGAGCCAATATGGGTAAATAAACAAGCCCGAAAAAAGAACTACTTGATTGCTAACAATTCTTTTGTTTGTTCATATCATGCGCATTGTACATTTCATTTTTTTTTTCTTTGACCGTTTCATAGGAAACGAAAGCTATTCATGCACAATATATTTACTAGGAGTTAACACCTCTTCCTTTCTTTTTTTCTTGTATGTCTACCATGTAAATGACCTTTTTTTATGAATCTTAACTAGACTGAAAATAAAAGTTAAAAAAAAATGAAATTTCTATAAAAATCATGACATCCTGTAGAGTCATAAACATAATTACATTAATCAATAAATTCAATAGACAAGTACCTTTAAAGAAGATTAGAATTCTATTTATTTCTTATTGTACAAAAAAAAAAGTCTTTTTATTCATTAAGTAGGATATTTACTCAGAAATGTATGTCATCGTTAGCTGGTGCTAATCTCGAGGACACTTTCGGAATAGTATCTAGAAATTTTTTTTTTATAATAAAACTTAAAATTGCTGTTACAAGACCAGCACCAATTAAGATTAATACTAAATATAATGGATGTCTCCAATAAGACCAATTCTTTGTTGAAAAAAAACCAAAGGCAACGAAAATAAAACCGAGTAAAGCAGGTATTACTTGTACAATTAATATACGAGGTGATGATGTTATTACACCAAAAATACCCGCAGTAAATACTGCTGCTAAAAAGAATAACATTGTACTAGCATTTAATTCTGCTAAACCCCAAATAAGACCAACAGCAAGTAGAAGATTGTAGAAACCTTGATTAGCAGCTAAACCAGCACTAGCATCAACAACTGCTTGTGATAATTTAAATGATTTAGCTGCTCGTTTTCGCCAAAGTATTGATTCCAAAATAAATATATAGATATGTATGACAGCAATAATACCACAGAAAACACATCCAGTTATAGCCAAACCCGGAATCACTGATTCAAGAGCCATATTCTTTTTTTTTGAATAATACACGTGTGTGCCTGTAAAAAGAAAAATGATAGGAGACGAGGAATTAAATATCTACCTTATATATTTGATAAAAAAAATGAAGAAAAGATTTTTTTACTTTGTCTATTGACATTAGAATGCGTATACGACATGCGCACATATATATATCGGCATTTATAAGAGATTGAAGTTCATGTGGTATGTATGACAAGATTATTGTGATATTTAGATTCAATTACGCATATCAAATTATGCTTATCAGTTTCATATAGTACAATATATATATTAGTATTTATCAGATTTTATGCATTAACTCTTAAATATAAAAGTGGGTTTTTCTTTCATATGTTAATATCATAACAATTAGTTTTATATAGACTGATTATAAAAATTTAATTCATTATAAATGTTACGAGCAATGACAAAAAGGTCATAAATTCTTTCATGTCTAATTCAGAATAATCAAGTAAAAATTTCTTTTCATAATTACTAATTCATGACAATCGAATTAATATAAAAATACTCAAAATTTTGTTTTATAAAAAAAAGAAGTTCTTTCTTGATTATATGTTTAAAATAATCGGTAATACAAAAAGGAACATTTATTTTTTGCCAATACATCCACCAGTAGCACAGTTGCTGATAACATTGCCAGCACATCCACCATTGGCACAGTTACTGGCGACATTGCCAACGCAATTTGGACATCCAGCCGCGCCACCATTGTTGATGACATTACCAGCACAATTTGGACATCCTACCAAGCCAGCGTTTGTTCCTAAGCAATGCTGAGGAGTTCCACCGCAGCTATTATAGAAAGGGTACAAATTTTTGTTTTTATATGTTCAAACAATAGCATATACATACTATCCAAATCTTGAACAACAAAGACCGGCTGGACATCCTGTCACTTGACAATTTCCTTGTCCAACCGTTAGATCAATGTTATTACAATGTTCAGATGTTGTACCACAACTACAATATATAAATAATAATATAGATTATCTAATATATAATTTCATTTCCTCACAATCCATGAGCACTACAACAATGACCTGGTGGACAACCTTGAGTTTTACAATTTCCATTCGTTACTGGTGTATTATCACAATGTTCAGGTGTATTTCCACAAAATCCAAATTTTGAACAACATAATCCATTCGGACATCCTTTTGTTTGACAATCCCCTTGTACTATTGCTCCTTGACAATGTTCAGGTGTTGCACCACAACTAAACATATCAAATATATATTAAATAAAAAATGTATTTTAAAATTCATTACTATCCATATTGTGAACAACATTGACCAGCTGGACAACCAAATATAAAGCATGTTCCACAGCATTGTTGTTGATCTAAATTTTAAAAGATTACATAACTTAATAATAATAATAACAATCAAATAACAAACTTTTTCCTGTAATATTCAAAGCCATTGATTCAACAGATGAGATAACACATAAGACAATAAGAATTAAACCAATCATGATTGTATATATGAATAAAAACTGTTTTTGAGTAAGTAACTAACGAACTTTCACTTCTATTCTTTTACTTATATACATATACATCTGATTATTAACAAAACGATTAACTAGACAAAGAAATTAATCCGACCTTTGAGAGACAACGACGTATATTCGTTTTTTTCGTTTTAATTCGATCTTTCACCCTCGCAAAATATCTAGCAGTGGGAGAAACCACGATTATGATACACACTTTTATCTCTTTGTCAAATATTGATTGACATGAAATGAAGATGAAAAAACAATGAAAATCAATGTATTCTTTTCTTTTTGATAACTATATAAGAAATATTTTACAAAGTCTATTTTGTTATTTAACATGATTAAGAAGTGTTTGAAAATATTGAAGACGATCAAATGTACTCATTGAATTAAGCTGAAAAAGAAATCATATGTTATTTTAATTAATTTGTCCAAGTAATTATAACTAACCATTTCAGCATCATTATCATCCAGTATTATATTACCTTTAGCCAATAATATATTAAGTCCTGGTATAAATTCCATATCACTATCGATACATTCAGCGACATCAATTTCATCCAAAGACATTTGATTATTATTTTTATTTCGATTATCTGATCGTCGTCGTCGTCTTATTTGTGAATAAATATAATGACGATGATCTCTAGATAATACATATATAATTCATAGAAATCTTATGATCATTACATACATTTGTTGTTTACATAAAACAATGAAAGCAATGAGACAAATAATAACAGCTAAGATTATAGATAAAATTGGAAGCCAATCGATGATTGTTGAAGATTTTTGTTGAATACCAACAAGTATTTCGGTGTCTAAATGAGTATAGGAATTCCTATAAGTAATTGCTTTCAATAAAACTGAGCACTGCTTTTAGATTTTGTCATTGTTGATATTGTTGTTAACATATCAAGCGATAAATATTTATCACTATTTTCATTCTCATTATACAAATATTGTTTTCGATTGTATTTGAATCGTCGTGAATGTTTAGAATGATTGTTAATCATAGATAGATATTTTTTCATCCTAAAAAATTGTTCGAATTAATTACTACGCTATTACACTACTGTCTTTTCAATATTACAAAAAATGCGCGAATTATTGATGACATCTTGTTAATTAAGATCTTTTAATACATAATAATGTATCTATGATGTTAAAATCTAAACAATAAACTATTTCAGTTATTGAAATATTTTCAGTAATAATGAGAAAAAAGTGAATGAATCATCGAAATTCATAATAAGATATTTGTATTTTTTAAATATATATATGTACTGTAGGATTTTATTTATTTCAATCTTCGCAATAATTATAGAAATGTTTTTGTTTTAACCAGCATGTTTCAAACGTCGATAACAATTGAGCATTTCTGTGACAAGATCAAGTTTTGAACTATTCTTGTATAATTTTACACGTCGAATACAATCGAGAACTTCTGTTGTTGTCCATAAAGCATCACGTTTAGTCATAGATCTTTCATCTGAATTACGATCTATATTTTCAGATGTTGGATCTTCATTAGCTTGAAGTGCAAAATATTCACTCAATTCAGCTAATTGTTCAGAATTAAGCGATTGTAATCGATTATTTAATCCATAATAATTATTGTTATTATCATCATCATCAGATAATGGTGCCATTTGATAACCAACTAATATGATAAGAAGAACTAAATGTTAATAAGAAAGAAAGGGTAATATTGTTGATGATAATCTATTTATTTTACATACCGAACCAAGAAAATTTCTTTAACATATTTTAAAGAATATATGGGTTGATCGACTTGTGAAAAGATAAGTATATATTTATGAGAAGGAAAGAGTAGATATGTGTGTATATATATATGAGAAAATATCGATAAAATAAAGTCTTCATTAGTTATAGTTGCTATAACATTTGTTGTTGTTGTTGCTCAAAATGATGATAGATTACTTGAAGTATCAAGAGCTGTTGTCATTATTATTAGTAGTATTATTAATGGTAGTCCATATCGTTTGATTGAGTAGTGAAACTGGTTGACACCAGTCAACGCCAGTACTTTGACCGATGATTGCATCTAGTAAATAAGATAGAAGACTTCCAAGTGTTAATCCAACGGAATAAGAAAACATCATTAAATTTCCTGTTAATTCTTTTCGTTCTTCAATAATTGTTACTGGTGCACGAATCATTGGTACACTACCGAAATACCCATTTGTTAAACCAAGTGTACTTGAAAGAAAAAATTGCCAAAATATATTTGATAACAATGGTGAACGTTTAGGTAAAATACATAGAATCATCAATGGGATATAAATAAAACGTAAAAGACTACAGAGCAATAATTTCATTGGTGACAATATATGATGAGTTGCAAGTGCAAATATTTTACCAAAAACGTCAAATATATTGAATAAAGCCATTAAAATAATTGGTAACGATTCACGCCATTGACAATTAATCATTTCAGATTCAACACCAGGGAATAACGATAAAGTTACAAAATACGTAAATGCTATACAAATCATATAAGGCCATATTGTTCTCATGCAATCAACTCGACGATACCATTCACCTATGTGTAAAATCAATAAACTATTTTCTTTTTTAGTAATTAAAGTAATATATCATACGTTTAATTCGAAACCATAGTTTTAAAGAATATTCATAATTTGTTGGAATAATTGGTTGTTGTTGATCATCAAATGTATCCATAGTTAATATACCAAAATGAGGATCTCGAATAGTTGATGTATTTGATTCAAGAGTTTCTTCCTTTGAAAATATTACAAAAATAAATCTTATCTATAAATTAAAAGTAACATACAGATTCATCAATTATCGTTTGTTTCGAATTAATCGATGCTGCATGACATCGAATTTGAAATTCAATATCTTCATTTCGTTTTGCATTTTCACATTGTCGAACATAATATTCAATAAATGTTGAACGTTGAATCATAAGATAAAATATAAAACAAAATTGAACAAATAAAAGGCCAAGTGAAAAAAATAATATTGTGCTCAAATGACTATCATTTGGCATAAATAAATTTGTACTAATTCGAGCACTAAAATATATAAATAATGAATCCTATATATATATATTATTAACTAAAAAAAATTCATTCTTACCAAGACGCAAGTAGACCAGCGAAACCTTGAAAATGAAAACTCATTAGTAAATTAAAAAGATATGAAATACTTACTTTCACCAGTCATTACAGCTTGTGTATATCGAAATGGTAACATACTTGTTAACCCATAAAAGCTTGATTGTTGTACTAATCAAAATTCATATATATTTATATTATTTCAAGAAAAAAGAAGAAAATAAATCTTACATGTACATCCAATTGCGAGTATAGCAACAGATAATAGAAAAATAGTATAGGATAAATTTTGTGGAAACATTTCTAAGCCAACACAAAAAATAGTAATAAACATAAGTATAATTAATGTAAGACAATAACCAAATATCACACGACGTTTAACTGATAGAACATTTGCAATAATATTACTAAATAAAACTGTACTAAATGCCAAAATAATATAAATAAAATTTAAATGAAATATAATTGCTGTTTGTGGAAATTGTGTATGAAAATAATCAACACATGTTATATAGATTGAATAAGGTAATAAAAAGCCAATTCCACAACAAAATAGTCCAAAATAGACAAGATGATATTTGTCGACAGGAGGTGTCAATGTTAATTGTTGTTGTGATTGTTGTTCTGTAAATGAACGATGATCATCAAAACGTGTATATCGATGATTATGTTGCTGCTGTTGTTGTTGTTCAGAATTTCGTATGACATAACAATGTCGTAAGAAGTTTTCATCCATAGGTGGTTAATATATAGTTCTCAATATTTGATTGAACTAAATCAAATGAAGAAGAAAACTATTTCTACATTATAATTTTTTTTTCTCGTCATTTTTTCTTCATCATTTTTTTCCTTTTCAGTTAAAAAGGATGTTAGGCCAAACGAACGAACAAAAAAAAATGTCTATGACCGGAAACAGTCACTAGTGTGATGATAGAAACGGCAAAAGAGAAGAAAAAAAAAAGAAAGGAAAAAAGAAAGAAGACAAAAAAGAAAGAAAGTCTGATCTGTTCTATCTCATGTCGTTATGTGTAACTGTGACATACAATTATTTAATAAAGATATATAGTTCATTTAAAAATCATTTCATAGAAAAAGGACGTCGACAAATTTTGTCCTACTTTTATTGCATTTAGTGAATTAATACAAAATTTATTTTTTCATTCCTATTTAAATTAAAAAAAAGTAATATTGTATGATAGTAAATGCTATTAATGGAATAAAGACTAGTTTTAAAAATATTTCCTTTGATTATTCAAGTTTATGAAAAACAAGCATATTAATCTTTCAGAACATTTTTTATGAGCATATTAAACGGATTTAAGTAGCGTTTCATATTTTAATCTTAGAAAAGAAAAAGATAATCTCAGATAATATTACAGTTTCAGTAAGAGAACACATATATTTACTAATGCAATCCAAATGAATTTCTCTACTTGAAATATTGAAAAAGAAAATGATCAAGACTATTGAATTATACCTGGTTTTATTTGATCGTTTATTAAAATGGTAACAAGTGAATGTCACTACATCTTTCTTCTGGATATTGTCATATTTACTGATTGTTTAATCAATTTGATTTGAATATTTTATAGGATATGTTTTCTGTTCAATACTATCACATATCATTTAATCAATACAAAAGAATTGTTTTAGTTCAAATCTCGAAAAAACGGAAAAGTAATTTTTTAATCACAGCTGATTACAAAACATTTATACTGGAAAAAAATTGAATGGTAATCACGCTACTGTACTATAGATGATGATGAAAAAAAGAAAATTATTAAATCTTCTTATAAATTTAATATACTTGGATTGACTTTGTTGAAGAGTATTCTCGTTTTATTTATAAATGCATCACGAAAGAAAATGAATACAAAAAAAAATGCACATTATTTATTTGTCAAGACAATAGGTAAAGTGAATCAGATCAACTACAATGAAAGTTTATACAGTTCGAGATAAAATTAATCATCTTCCGTTCGACCAAATTTCAGTATAAGTGTACTAGAAGTAAAAAAAAAGAATTATTTGTTCTTTATATTCGATAATTAATAAAATTACCTAGCAAAAATAAGTAAAGTTTGAATAAAAAGTGCTACACCTGGATATATATCCTTGGCATTTGGAATCATATATAACGCTATCATAAGCCATGCACCAGCAATTACACTGCCGAATACGAATAAAAATGAGAGAAAAAGTATAACTCGTGCTAGTGTTAAACCAATACATCCATCGCGATAATAATCACCATGAAAGCGTGAATTTGATATCGAGTTGACACTAACAAATAAAAGTGTTAGAATTAATAATAAACCAAAAAAAAAATAAGGAAAAATTTACAAGATTAAAGCAAGCGATGCAATTATTCCAATAGTAAGAAGTGCCTTATGAAATTGGTCATTTGATGGATAACGTATACAAACATCAATAATTAACCACCAACCAATAGTAAACTAAAAGTAATATTAAACTGAAAAATTTAAAGCGAAAAAAAAATCTTTTGCACACCAATGATCCGGCGACAATCGATGCAATTGTATTTCGATTTTGTTTGATTTCAAATCTATCTAAATTAAGTTTTTGATAATAATACGATAACGGAAGACAATCATCACATAATCCAGCCATCTAAAAAAAATACAATGAATTAAAAATAAAACTAAATCGGCTGGATTTTATTTATGAATAAAAAAAAATAAATTTTCAATTAATTAATTAATACGACACAAAAAAAAGAAAGACTATTGTTCAATCACTGGTTAAAATTATTGATCCATGCTTATAGTATCATTCCCTGTCATAAGTTGACGAAGAACAAGTTTCTTATAAATACCATCCTCTTTTGCAATAAGAGAATCATGAGTACCCTATAAATACAGAATATAAAACTTCAATATATAAATCTTTAAAGTACAAAGATTTACCTGTTCAACTATTGTACCTTGATTGATAACAATGACTACATCTGCATTACGTACTGTTGATAAACGATGTGCAATAACTAAAACTGTACGATCGATCATTGCTCGTTCAATAGCTTCTTGTACGAAATGTTCACTTTCAGCATCGAGTGCACTTGTTGCTTCATCAAGTAATAATAACTTTGGACTCATTAATAATGCTCGTGCAACTAAAATGAATATTATATTATTTTACCTATATATATAAATATATTCGCTCATTTACTTGCTATTCGTTGTCGTTGTCCACCAGATAAACGAACACCACGTTCACCAACTAATGTATCATATTTATTTTCAAACTGTTCAATAAAATCATGAGCATTTGCTTGTTTAGCAACAGAATGAATCTCATCCAATGAAATATCTGTTCTATCAAGACCAAATGTAATATTATCACGTATTGAACATGCAAATAATGTAGGTTCTTGATTAACAAATGAAACATTTTCACGTAACCATTTTGGATCAATAGATATTAATGGATGTGAACCAAAATAGATCGTTCCAGAATCTGGATCATAGAATCGTTCAATAAGTGAAGCAATTGTACTTTTACCACCACCTGATGGTCCAACTAGAGCAACTTTTTGTCCAGATTTAATTTCAAATGTTATATCACGAAGAACTTGTTGATCTGATCGAGTTGGATACGTAAAAAAGAGTTTGTCAACACGTATACTTCCATCAAAATCATCTGGCTTAATCGAACATTCGCGAGTTGATGTTGCCGGAATTTTTGGTATACGATCAAGTAAATCGAATAAACGTTCACTAGCACCAGCAGCTTGCATAAAATCTTGAAAAATAAAAAAAATAGATTTCTATAAAAATAAATCTAAAATATGAGCTCTTACCACCAAATAATGAAGCTAGCATACCAAATGCAACTGCTACTTGCAATAAATACATTAAAAATGAAGCAAGAGTTCCAGTGGATAATTTTCTTTCATGAACTAATTTTCCCCCATACCACATAACAAGAGCAATACCGCCAGCTGCTAAGAAACCAACTAAACCCATAAATAATCCACTATTCAATGCTAATTTTTTTCCAACTTGATATGATTTTAATAAATTCTCGTGATAATGACTGCTAATTCTTTTTTCTGCACCAAATATACGTATAGTTCCTACATAATTAAATATTTCTTATTATCTATAGGGAAAACAAAAGGGTCCTTACGAATATTTGATATTGATTCTTCAGATGTTGTTCCAGCTCCTGCTAATTCATCTTGAAATTGTTTTCGTAATTTTCGTACAATAATTCCATACTGTCTTGAAAAAAGTATTATAACTGGTACAATTACCATTAAAACAAGTGTTAATGATACTTCTAAATAAAACATAACAACAAGACTACCAGCAATTTGTAGAAAAGATCGAAGAAGCATTGATATATTAACTGTCACTGCATTTTGTAAGACTTGTGTATCACTCGATAAACGATTTGTTAATTCACCGGTACGTGTAATATCAAAGAAACCAACTTCTTGTTTTATAATCGAATCAAATATATTTTGACGAAGACGATAAACAACTCTCCTGAAGGAAATCAAACAAATGAAATTAATTTATATTACGAATATTTTTCTCTAAACTTACTGTCCAGCTAATTCAAATACCCATGAACGAAGAAATGATGCTATAGCACCTATACAATTAATTCCAAATAATATAAGAACATCATTTGTAACGGGACGCATAGAATCCGATGTTAATGCATCATCAACAATTCTACCAAAAAAATATGGTTGAATAATTTGTGTTCCACTTGATATGAATAAAAATAATGTTCCAGTAATAAGAAATGGACGTTCAGATTTTGATAATGAAAATAATCGTTTTAAATCAACTTTTTTTTTTGTTGATCGTGGTTGTTCAAGTAATTTAACTCGTGATAAATATGGTATCATTAAAATCATACCAATAAATTCAATGGAGGAAAATACAAGAAATATATAAACAGTTGATAAATAAAGTTTACTTAAATGAAATGCACGTAAAACAAATATTAATTTAATTATGGCAAATGCTAATGAACAAATTGATAAGAAAATCAATGAAACTATATAAAAATAACGAATAAATATAAATAATGGACGAGAATTTGGTTGATATAAACGAGCAATAATAAATGTTTCTAATTCTGTTAGAAAAATAATTAATAAAATAAATTTCGAGATTGATATCGCAACAAGATCAAATACAGATGTTGTTAAACGATAATGTATTATATCATCAATAAGTGAATGTGTTGAAGTACCAACTAACCAAATGATAAGTATTGTAACAAATTCAACGAAAAGAAGAATACGAATAATATTCGTTAAACGATAACGTGAAATCGATGGAACAAGAATAGTATCAACATTAGGTGTTGATAATATAGGATTGTCATTTAATAATGGAGTTTGATCATTGTCTGATGTTACATCAAGAATAGGAACATCATCATCATTAGAATTGTTCGACGTCATGGTATCTTTGAAAAGAAAAAAATGTTTAATATTTAATTTATTAATATATTTTTTGTTTATCTAGAGATTAGTATATATCGTTTATTCTCATAGGATTAATAATAAAACATTGAATAACAAACTATTACAAAAAAAACTTAATTCACTATTTTAACGAACAAGATATGACTACCAAAATTACTTGTTTTTTTTATAGCACTCATCGTTATACATCTCGATAGGAATAGTCAAAATATAGGACATTAGTGTTTTTATTAAGACTAGCAGAAAATATTATTGAGTTCATTGAAAAACACTTCGTTAATTAAATAATACTAATGATCAATGATTTTAAACTACGTGTGTTTAGTACCGTCTTTGTATACCTATTCTTGCCTCAGGATTCAGTTATTTTTTTATCTAAATTTTAGAATGTGTCTATCACTTGAAAATACGCACGAATATAAACGTCTGAAGTATGAGTAATAATATGATCAATGTCATACTTAAAAGTACTTAGAGTATGGGAACCCATTTTGAATTATATGGTTACATCACCTATTTATCAACTATTATGTAAAATGTGTTCGAAGCACAAATCAAGAAATATATCGTGACGGCAGAAATATATAACAAAACTTCAACAATGATTAATTTCTTCTTCTATCTTAATCCTATGTAAGTATGACAATAACATCTATTTTTGTTAACTTTTTATAATAACATATATTCCATGATAATTATAGGTGACGCTCTATACTCAAATAAAGTGGTCTAGATACTATCGGATGAACTTGAAAAGACTTGCAATTGCCTTATATATTACTATTCCTTAGAATTTATGAAAAAATAAATGTGGATATCAATTAAAATATATGCCGATATTTTTTAATCTGTCGATCAACCGAAAAAAATTTGATTTATGTCAAAAAAGATAAGCAATTGTCAAATATATAAAAATGACTCACTTGTTTAATTAAACTATAAAAAATAAATATCAATCACAGTTTAAATAAGAAAATATATATATTTAATATTGAACTAAGCCATCATTCTCAACAATAGATCGATGTTAAATTTGTTGTTTTAAAAGTTCATTAATTTTGAAATGTCACTAGGATCTTTAGTTTACATTATTGTTTATACATAAATAATATCAACGATATTTTTTCATTGGATAATAAAAGAAACCAATTAGGTTTTATCAGATGAATATTTCTTTCTAGCTAATTACCAATGTTTATCATTCTTGTTCTAAATAAGAATGTCATCTGAAAATTTTGCTAAAAATAAAACTCAACTACAATAAATAAATACTTTTATCTTGTTCTTCTCCTAAAGATGACACTAGTTTTATATTTATTTCCACTGACATATATATTATTTCATGTATTCTCTTTGACAGAAACGTTAATAAAAAAAATTACCTTTTTTTTTTCATTCTTTTATAGAATTCTTCTTTTTTAATTATGTCAATTTTAAATAAAAAAATTCCATCAGTTCCGTCAACACCACGAAATAATCAAATATCATCATCAAAAAATTCTGTGACATCAATTATTCGTCGTGCATCAAATCTTTTAACACAACGTACAACTTCATTTGGTGGACCAAATACAACAACATCATTATTAAAAAATAAATGTCCACCATTAGATGGTGAAATTGTATTTTCAAAAAATAATATTTGTGTTCATCCACCATCACGTTTACATTCATATACACTTCATCATCCTGGTTATTTATGTATTAAATGTCAAAATAGTCCAGAATTTGGTTCAACATTAATATTAACATGGATACCAAATTCAACATTAAAAAATCGTTCAAATACATCTCAACAATCACCAACATCTGATGAAATATCATCACCATCAATAAATACAAATCTTGATCAACCTCCAACATCAACTCCACGTCATTCATTATCAAGAACAATTGATAGTGGATATCATGCATCGAATTCTAATCATCCGCTATTATCACCTATTGAACAAGAAGAAATTCCTGATCGTCGTCATTCATCTGATGATCAATATGAAGATGCTTTAGATGATAAATCTTATATGAGACAAGAATCCATTACATCTGATTTAACTGAAGGACCTGATGAAATTCTTGATGAACAAGATGTTGATGATGCATTTGATAGTATTGAAACAAATGATCAATCATCAAATCGTGTTATTGATGATAGTTTACCATTTATGAAAGAAACGAATTCATGGAAAAATGCTACAGGTATATGTGAACCAAATTCTTCAATGATCGAAGATGATGAAGCAATACGAACTGTTGCTGAACAATTTTGTGGTGTTTTCTCTGTTGATCTTGGTAAAATGCGTTCATTACGTTTATTTTATTGTGATGATACACCATCAAATGCAAGTGGTAGTGGACAGTTAGTTATAGCATCATGTGAATCTCAATATAAAGTACTTCATTTTCATAATGGTGGTTTAGATCGTTTAATTGAAATCTTAAATGAATGGAATTTATTTGCTTATGAAAAAACTCGTCGTGGTTTTGCTAATTGTCATCAATTTAATGTTGTTCGTCCAACAATTGATTCAAGTGATTTACATCCAGAAGAAGGTTGTTATCATTTAATCACTATAGATAATTGGAGAACTTATATGAATTCAGTCGGACAAATTGAAGATAATCATCAATTACGAAAAGTAAATTAACTTGTTTTTTCTGTTTTATCTTAAATCAAATCATTTATGCAGAATATGTCATACTGCTCTCATAATCAAAGAAACGATATGTTTGATCAAAAACTTTTCCTTGAAATTGAGTCTAAATTTTGTTTTATGCAGAAGTACGAAGCAGATCATTTACTACAACTTTTAGTTTATGCAAAGTCATTTCAACCGGAAATGAAATCGTATTTCCGTAAAATTACAATTAAAACTAAATTATATATCATAAAAAATCATTTCCAAACGCTTTTTTATTTTTTATTTAGACTATATTTTTTGCTGGTATTGATCCTAGTATAGCACGTGAAGTATGGCCATTTTTACTTCATCTCTATCCATTTGATTCAACATTTGATCAACGTGAACAAATTCGTCATAATAAATTTATACATTATCAAAAAATTCGAGCACGACGGTAATAAAATTATTTTAAAATTGTTTTTTTCTATTTTGTTCATTATAGAGAAGCAGCTATCGATGATTCTGAACAAGTTCAATTTTTTCATGATGTTGAAGCTATTATTGAAAAAGATGTTGTACGTACTGACCGTTCACATCCATATTTCAAAGGTGATGATAATCCAAATTTAAGAGTGATGAAGTAAAGAATAAAATTTTTCGTTTATTTTTGCAAAAATAATTTTTTTCTTTAGAGAAATTCTTATGAATTATGCAGCCTATTGTCCAACAATGGGTTATAATCAAGGTATGTCTGATCTATTAGCACCAATATTAACATTGATTCAAAATGAATCGGATGCATTTTGGTGTTTTGTTGGACTTATGAATCGAACAATATTTATATCAACACCAACAGATGATGTTATGGAGAAACAATTAGTAAATTTTTCATTAAAATATTAAAAATATCTTCTTGTTTTGTTTTCTAGAGATATCTTCGTGAACTTTTATCATTGATGTTACCTGCCTTCCATGAACATTGTTCCGAATTATCTGATGGACTTGATTTACTTTTTGCACATCGATGGATACTATTATGTTTTAAACGTGAATTTCCTGAACGAGGTTTGTATATATATATGTCTTTAGAAGAAAATGATTGATCTTATGTCTATAAATAATATTACGTATTCTAAATTTAAATAATTAATATGCTATGAGAGTGCACCCTTGGGATATATATCATTATTCTCAAAAAAAAAGAATAATTTCTTTTATATTACAGACAACATATTGTTGCTTATGGCAATTAATTTAAAATAAAATTTTCATCTATTTAGAAGCCCTGCGAATGTGGGAAGCATGTTGGTCACATTATCAAACTGATTATTTTCATTTATTTATTTGTATAAGTATTATGGCAGTATATGGTGATGATATTGTACAACAAAATCTTGGTACAGATGATATGCTTCTTCATTTTAATAGTCTTGCAATGCATATGAGTGGTTCAATTGTATTGAAAAAAGTATGAAAAAAGTTTTAAAAAATTCAATTTTATTTCTTTTTTGTTAAATAGGCTCGTAGTTTACTCTATAAATTTCGTTTATTACAACGCATACCTTGTTGTCTTCATGATATATCGGTGCTTGCTGGTCCAGGTTTGATTTTAATTCGATTTTATTGCATATCAAATGATTTCTTTAGGAAATTGGGATTCACATCATGTTCCACAAATCTATTGTATCTGTACGACTGTTCAAGAAAAAGAACGATGTCCATTTAGTGGTATTTGTATGTGAATATATATTTGTCGTTATTGAATATTATTCTTTTATCATCTAGTCATGTTTTCTTTTTCTCTCATTTAATTACGAACAAAAAAAAATTCTTTATCTCTATTATTTGTAAGCGAATCTCTTATGATACTCATAACTTTCTATATTTTAAATTTAATCATTTTCTTTCTTGTCTTTATATATATATAATCTGTCTATCTATCTATCTATATTTAACTCGTTCTCAGGCGCGTATATGTATTGGTGTGTTTACAAGTATATTCCGGTGCATGTCTTATATAAACTCCGACGTTTTTTTTTTTCTCATTTCCGTTCATTTTTTCTTTTGTTGTAAAAGTTTAGAGAAAATCTTTCTTTTATTTTTTTTTCTTCGTCGATACTCAATCAGTAGGTTTTTAAAAAAAAGAAGAATTTTTTTTTCGATTCGATTTCCGTTGTTGACTGTGAACAAATACGTTTGAGTGTTGTCTATTTATGTATATGTCTTTTTTTGCGAAAAATGAAGAGTAAAGAAAAACAAAGAAGAAGGCGGAGGAGGAGGAAAAGGGAAAAAATAGTTCATTATTTGCATTCTGATAGAACACAAGGTCTATTTAATGTCATTTTGATGATAATTCTATTTATTGGCGCAAAAGGCCAATCACAATAATAATAAAAAAGTAAGTCTAATCATTTTTATTGTAGTGATTATAGGAAAAAAACAAAAACATTTTGTAAGTATATCTTTACGACAAGGGGATTTTATATTTATTGACTATAAAATTGATCTTAAATTTTGTTTTTTCTATTTTATTGAAAGAAAATCAGATAGAATGAAATTTACTGTTATTAAGTATACTTGTCAAAGGTACTTTGTTTTTAGCTTATATATATATATTAGCAGTTGCGTCTTTCTTTTTTTTTTTTGTATGTACATTTGTTATAATTCATTCATCGTATAAAATATATAGATTTCTTTTAATATTCAAAATTAATATTATTATATAGTTGTATAGAATCAAACTGATGCCATTTAATATATTCGATTGAGACCATCTGCTGTGAACATTGTGAAATAAAGAACGCAATATATATTAATTCTATTTATCATATTGCATTTTTTATTGTAATATAAAAACAATTTTTGGTACTATTTATCTTCTGTCACTATTGATGAGTGTTATCTTTCTGATGAATAAAAAAACAGATGTAATGAATTTTATTTAGTTAAAATTCTTATATTGATTTACATTCTACGCAATAATCGAGTTGAATCTAAGTGACGAGCATAAAGAACCATCGCATGTCTATTATTGTTAGAGAAAGAGAAGGAGGAACTAAATCCAGCATTCTTCCTTAGCGTGTAACTAACAACCATATTGGTACGTAGTAATCTAAGTACGATTCATGTGGTTAGAATATAAAAAAGGGCGTAGTTTTTTATCCCATCATTCTCTATCTATATATCAATCATGATATATTGTTATAAAACACGTGCATTATTGTCATCACAGATAGGTCGCAAAAGTACGCATAGAAAGGTATATTCGATTTAATTTGATTTTTATCATGATGGATGTAAGGTAGAAATACTTGGGATGCACAGTTAAAAGATTTATTTGCTGTTTTCAACTGTTATTCATTCGTAATAAGGATGTCCTTACGTCTTATAATCACTTTTCAAATTATTGTTAAGAACTAGGATTAATTCTTTTTTAGCTTTTCATTATGAGTCTGAAACTTTTGCTCGTATTAAATGCAAAGTGTCAAATGATGAAACAAAAATCCACTTTTAATTAATATTCTTCGGAAGAAAAAGAAAAAGAATTTCCTTATATATATTCTTGGAAAAGGTGTGCCTGTAAGACCTTGTAGCAAAGGACACGATCAATCTCTCTTATTCTTCTGTCACATTTCTTTTCTCTCTCTATATCTTGTATAAAGAAGAAAAAAACGTTTTTAGCAACGACATTATTTGTCGAGAAGACGTATAGAACAGAACTATGCCAAGTATTTTATACATAGTCAATAGTAATACATACGTAATTTATGCTTACTCGTTTAATAAAGTAAAATAAATACAATTTCTTAATTTTCAAGAAAATAGTATTATATTTTTAGTAACATTTACCTTTGTATACATTCATTTTTATTATCTTTATTGTGTTTTTGACAGATGCAGTTTTGATTATCTTTTTATGCCATGCTGTTATCATCAACATTATCATTATTGTAACTATAACCTTGTATCAAGTAGAGAAAAGAAAAAAGCATCAACGTTACATATATCGAGTATTGGACGTTGAAGACACATCAAAGAATAATATTCTTATATAACAGATATATGAATGGTAGACAAGGCTGAAAAAAAACTCCAGGACGAAGCAATAGAATCAACTTCTGAAAAAAGAAAACTACGTAAATTAGAAGATGATGAAGAATATGATTATATAACAACACCACCTGATGGTGGTTATGGTTGGGTCGTTCTTATAGCATGTTTTGTAAGTAACTATAAAGATTGTTTGTATATTATAAACTAATATAATGTAATATATTTATGTAGATGATTAATTTAATAGTTGATGGTTTTCTTTATGCATTTGGTGCGATTTCAAAAGATTTAATACGTGCCTATAATTGTCAAGAATGGGCTGTATCGCTTGTTATTTCTCTTGCGTGTGGTTTTTATTTACTTAGTGGTAATTATTTATTTTCTGTAATGTAATATTTATAAAAACATTTCTTTTTTTGTTGTATTTCAATATAGCACCTGTAGCTTCTGCACTTTGTAATAAATGGGGATGTCGTCCAGTTGGTATAATTGGAAGTATTATTGCATCATTAGCTGTTGCATCATCAGTATTTTCACCAAATATTTATATAATGTGGTTATTATTCGGTTTTATTGGTGGAATTGGTATGGGTTTAATCTATCTGCCAAGTATTATAATGGTTGGATATTATTTTGAAGATAAACGTGCTATAGCTACAGGTATAGTACATCTATTTTTTTGTTGTTGTTTGCTTAATAATAAAGCTTTTTAATTATAGGTATTGTTACGGCAGGAACAGGAATTGGTTCAATTACATTTGGACCACTGTCACGAGTTTTATTTAATTCTTTTGGTTGGAAATATGGTTTACTTATATTCGCTGCTATTCTTCTTTTATGCGTTATTTGTGCTGCTTTGATGGTTCCTTTAAAACCAATAAAAAAACGACGTATATTACAACCAACTGAAATGTAAGTGTGACATTTACCGTTGAATGAATATGTTAAGAAAACTTATTCCGTATGATATGTTTTGTTAAGTGAGATATAATTGATTTGTTAGTTATGCACTAATAGAAGGTTGTCTGGTGATTATATTTCTATATGTATAAGAATTTTAAATTTGTTTTATTTTTCTTATTTGTAGAAATGATGATAATGTCTTTGCACCAACAGTAAGTAAATTATTCTTTTAATTTTATTTCCTTTGTATTTCTTATTATAGACAACTTCACCGTTACTCGATCAAACGATCGATTCTAAGGTTGCTATTGCACAAACATCTGTTCATCAATCTAATCCAAATATACATGAAGAAGTAGCAGAAGAATTAATACGAAAACGAAAAGGTTCAATTATTTCAACTAAATCAAGACAAAGTATTAAACTAGATGATGCTGCTCGTCCGTGAGTCTTTTTTCTTTTACTATTATAAGTTTATTTTTTGTTGTATAATTTTAATAGTTTATATAAAGAAGATGTACTTTATCAAGGTGATCCGAGAGATCTACCTGAATATCAATCACAACCAGATATACCTACTTATATTCAAGAAACAACAAAAGTACCTGAAGCGAAAGACAAATCACCAATGAAAGCCTTTTGGGATGTGTTTCTTTCTATGACAAATATTAATGTTTTGAACGATAAAAAAATGATTATCATTTGTTTGGTATAGAATTATAGAAGATATATATATATATATTATATACTTCTTTCTTTCTTTATTATTCATAAAGGCGAATATTTGTTCAATGATCGGTTATTATGCACCTTATCAATATATCGTTAAATTCGCAGAGTTAGAAAGATCTATTTCTGAGAAAAATGCTGTTTATCTATTATCATACATTGGTAAATAAAATCATTTTATTTATCGAATTATTTCAAAGTTTTTTCTTAGGTTTTGCAAATACATTTACTCGTTTTGCATCTGGTTGGATAACAAAGATTCCTTATATGTCACCATTACTTGTTAATAATATTGGTATAGTAGTAGCTGGAATAGCAACATTACTTACTCCATTTTGTCTTACATATATACATCTTATTATATATTGTATCATATGGGGCGGTTTTATAGGTAAGAAGAATATATCATATCGATCGATGTTAAGTTAAAACACATCAATCCAAGATTTGGTTCATCGAGAAATCAAATTACAAGTATAGGATATTGTTTTTGGAATTTATTATATCTCACTTTGATCTAATTACTTCACGCATAAAGTTTGAGCTTAAAAGACAGCAATCACTTAAAACAGTTCTATACTAACCGATGAGTTTCTATAACATGTGTTTGATTAATGAATAATGTTAATTCTAACTGAATTTTTCTATTATTTTTCTAGCATTTCATGTATCATTAAGTCCAGTTATTGTTTGTGAAATAGTTGGTCTTGAACGATACAGTAGTGCATTAGGTTTGACTTTAATGTTTCGTGGTATAACATCATTAAGTGCTCCACCTGTAAGTTTATTTATCTATTTATTTCGTTTATAACAGTTAGAATTTAGGTAATGGGTGCTATTCGAGATATAACAGGAAGTTTCAACATTCCATTTATGATTAGTGGAATTAGTTTTCTAGCAAGTGCCTTAATGCATTTTTATCTTATGTGGATTCAGTATCAAGAAAAAAAATCGAAAAAGAATATCGAATCAGTAAAAAGTCAAAAAGCATTAGAGGTGTGATTATATTTAATGTTGTTCTTTGTGATACCTATTTTTTTGTCCTTCTGTTTTTTTTAATTTTTGCCTTTACCTATTGATTATTATGTAGAAATATTATTTTTTTGTTTTTTCTATTGTACAGTTTCAACATTCGAGCAATATATATATATATATTCGTTTTATCAAATATTTGATTATAGTTTAAAATAAATATAAATCAATTCAAGGGTTTTATTACTCTATGATAACAAAAATATTTTATTTTCAAGGAGATTTATTGACGAAAAATAAATATGTAATTCAAGAAGTCTATTTTGATCCACCGAATAATAAATATATCCCTTATTTTCACCAGAAGAGTTATATATATCTTATTCAATATTTATTTTTGAATATAAGAAAAAGAAACAAATTTTTGTTAAAATGTTCATCACAATACATTATATTGCTTAACAAGTAGCTGTTGTACTACAAACGTTTGTTAAACGATCGAATTTTTGACCATCGGGACACATAGCACTAACGGGAGCTGAAATTAAAATAATAGTTTTATTCATGTATAATTCTATTAGAAATACTTACCACCACCTGCAGCAGCACAATAGAAATATCGACCCGTTGCACAATATGCTGTATCAGGAAAAACACCTGCTGTTGTACAAGTAAAATAGTCTAATAGAGACGAAAAAGAAAAAATTTTAAGCTAGAAATGTATGATAATAAATAAATACAAACTTAGACTGCATGTAGGTCCTGACCAACCTGGATTACAATGACAATAAGCAAATAAACTTGTACCTACTGATTGTTCAACACAAGTGCCAGATTGGCATAGTCCAGTTGCACAACGAGTTGCAATACCTGAACACGAAAAATAAAATAGTCAAAAATAATAATAAAAATATTAATAACAAACCTTGTATTTCACAAAATGAGCCTGAATAACCTAATGTACACCAACATACTTGTTGATTACTGACGATATTACATACACCACCATTGACGCATGCTCGATTACAAGTTGTTGGACTTACTACTGCTGTACCCGTAACTATATTTAACAAATAATATAGAAAAAATTTACATTCTCAGTTTTTGAATTCTTACGACAAGGTCCATTGAGAACAGGCGCAACATTATTTGGACATACGCATACAGAATCAGTGGAGCCCGGGACATCATAACAACAATGACCAGTATATGGACCGTAAGCAGTACCTAAGAGTCTACATGGATCCGATGCGCATGAAACTATATAGATATAGAAAAGAATCTAATTAAGTAATAAATAATGTTATGTTCTTACTTCCGTGAGTTAGTTGAATATGTTGTTGAATTAGAACAACAACAATTACTCCAATGAATGTATTCATATTTAAAAATAAGTACCGTCGATATTTAAAAGAAATTAAAATAGCTACATATAGCCATCGTATTAAGTTTTTATATTCTAATATCCAAGGCCGTGAGTCAATATTTTTTTATTGTGATGATAGGCTCCTATTTCCTATTATTTCTTGAAATCGATATCTTAATATCGAAATGTACTTTTTTTTATTTCAAATAAAACAATAATAATAACAAAAACGAAAAACTACTCGAATTATGAAAGTTCACTAATATAACAATCAATTTTATTTAAAAAAACGTATACGACTTATGTTGTATGATAAAATTAAACAATTTACAAACAACATAACCTTCCTCTTTTGGTTTACTCACAAATGTGTTTAATTTATAATGAATAATTATATAATTCCCCCTAACAACGCCGAAAATAAAAATGTCGAAAGATCAAAATATCGAAAACCCAAATGCTGCATAATTAGAAAAGCAGAAATGTTGAGAATGAAAGACAACAAAAGTAAAAACACCTTTCGCCCTTACCCACACTATTATATTGCCGCATATACCCTCACTTTTTTATTCGATATTTCGATTTTCGATATTTTTATATTTCGACATTTTTATATTTTGATTAAATTAGAGTTAACTCTTGAAATGAATGACAACAAGTAAATAATGTTTATTCACCATTTAAATATGTCCCATGTGCAAGGTTCCGAATGGCAAGTGTACAAAGTAGACAAAAAATGTACCAAGCACTTGAGACATTTGAAATACACGCTGGTTTACACGTTGCTGGCGAAAATAAAATGTGCACGGTACACTCTGCAAACAAAATTAACACTTTGTTTTTAAGCCATGAATTGATTTCTTTTCTGTTTAAATTTAAATGGATATCGACGAATAATAAAAGAAATATTCCTATTCATATCAGATCACATAATTGTGTTTGTATTAATTGTGTATTTAGTATTATTCAATATGCATTTGTTTTACACTCTTCATTAGTAAAAAATATAAACTATCTATTTTTCTAGATTATAATTAAATTCAATTGATACACTATGTAATGGCGTAACCAGAGTATGGCATGGGTAAGCACCGCCTACTCACTGGACCTGTTCGCCCGCCTACCCGTAATTTGAAAACGCGACTTTTCCATATATATTATATAGTATTTTGGAAATCGGTAAGACGCCGCCTACCCACCCGCCAATTTTCTGGCTACACTACTAGTATGAACTATTCTTTAATACTGGAACACAAAGAATAATTCATTTTATCGATAAAAATAACCTTTTCTCTCGTTCTGTTTTTTATGTTTCTGTTGAGTATCTTTCATTCTTGTCTGACACAATGAAACTCTACTTGTTCAGATATAACAATGTAACCATAAAGGTCTTATCTACAATACATATCTTTTCAATAAATATTGTTTACCTTACTGGTAAGTGTTACTGCTCATATTGTATTCTCAACAAGAACAGAGTTTCAATAGACACGTTTTCTTTTTCATCAGTTTTATTTTACTTTCAAAAAAAAGAATAAGACATTTATCTAATGATCGATATCTCAATATATATATATATATATATATGAAGAAGTAAAGAACTGATCCAAACAATCGTATTATGCCTCATCATCATCAAGAAAATGCTTGTACACAAAAAGATATTACTCTTGATACTCCTGATACACTTTATTCGAATTCATATGCAGTTGTTGTATCATCAATAACATTAAATGATGCTGAATGGAATGATGTTGTTAGTCATTTATTTGAACTTCATCCAAATGCTCAAAAATTCGTTTATTCGGACAATGATATATTATCCATACGTTCAGATTTACAAACCTTAATGCCACGTTATGTTGCATTTGTTTGTCAACCGAATGAACGTGGACGAATTTTTGTAGCTAAATGTCATTGTTTAATGCGTACACTTGATGATGATCCATATATTGATGCAATGTGGTCAATTATAACTGGTATTGATGCTGAACATGCATTAAAATCAATCGATAATGAATCCATACCACAACCATTCATTATTCAACGATCAATAAATTTTACAAATATTGATCAAAATTTATTTAAAACATGTTTTACATTTTCTGATGCAAAACAAGGTTGTTGGTACGGAAAAAATTGTAGTTTAGATGATGGTAGTGGAGAAGAAAGAAATCAAGGTGAAGAATATCCTAGAGCACCAGCACTTATATTTACAGAAAAATTAAATGAAATCGAACCTGACCTGTTAATTACAAGTGGTCATGGCACAGAACAGTCGATTGAAATGCCATGGTCTCTAGGAAAATTAGAAGTTCAAGAAACTTATCTTGCACCTCTTGATAACAATTCAGAACCAGTTGCACCAATTATTGAGATATCATCAAATCCAAAAATTTTCTTACCAATTGCTAATTGCCTTGTTGGACATTGTAATGGATCTCAATGTATGGTAACAACATTTCTTGGTCGAATGGGTGTTCGACAAATGTGTGGTTATACAGTTCGAACTTGGTTTGGTCGTGCTGGATGGGGAACACTTGATTTATGGAAGAGTATACCTGGTCGATTGACTTTAGCTGATGCATATTTTTTACATCAAGCATGTATGACATATAATTTAAAATCAATTGATTCACGATATCTTGAATTTAAATTTGATGTTAGTGATGATGATCCTTGTTATGAAACTATTGTTGAACAACTTGAAAAACAATATCATTTAGAAAATGAGACAATAGATGATAAAGTTCTTGAGCAAATGTATGGTTTATGTTATGATCATGATACATTTGTATTTTATGGCGACCCAGCTTTTATAGCAAAATTAGATGAAAATAAAAATAAAGAATTATTAACAACAAAATTTTTACGTACAAGTGAAACTACACATCAGTTTATTATTGAATATAAAAATATTGATATAGCACAAAGTTTTTCACTTCCTATTGGAAATTTATTTACTAATCGTATTCATGATTATAAAATTCTTAATGGTTTTGAATATGAACCAATTTTAACAGATAATTTTCTTATTATACTTAAACCAACACCACTTGATCACCAAAGTACAATTATTAAAATTGATTTTTATGGTGTATTAATTAATTAAAACTAAAATATATATATACAACGATACTTTTGATATTTGAATTCTTGTACTGATTAAGTTCGTTTATTTAACAGATTTTGATATTTCGAAATAATTGTACAGATCATTCATACTTGACCAAACAAATAGTTAGAAGAAATAAAAAAAACACATATTTCATTTACAAAATCTTTCAGATACTATACCAACTAATATAAGAATATTTATTTCCTTTATTCAACGTGATAGTATTTTTTATAACACATATTCCATATTAATAACTTGCTGTTCCTGTATTTATCTTATTCAAAAAGAGCACTGTATCGTATTAATATTTTATGAGATAAATCTGTTTTGATAATATTCATAAAGTTATTATGTCAGTCATTCGATTGTCATTATAATCAGAATTTACTGTAATATACTTATATTATACTATTTACAACACTCACTTTTATATTGATTTTTCATTTAAATAATAGACCAGTTATCATACGAAATAGTTCATAAGTAAACGAGAATAGTTTTCAACTAAAAAGCACTTGTTGTCTCATATACACATCAAATTCATTTTATTTATTTTTTTGTATAAAGCAATTTTACATATTAATACTCACGCACCATCTATTCTTAGTCATCATCGCGTATCACCTTCATTATCAACATTTTTCTGTTCTGTTCTGTTCTTTCTCTGTACACAGCGTGTGCGAGTTTTTTTCTTTTACTTTCTACCATGAGTGTAGTCAAATGTCATGGTTGAATAAATATGGTAACTTCGTTCCCTGTTTCGTTTCATTTGATATCAAACTCAATTGCAAGCAATCATAGTAAAAAAAAAATTTATTTTCGCTTAAACTGATGACAATTAGAGCCTGATAGTACAGAGAACATGAAAAAACAATAACAGAAGAAAAATACGCATAATAAAGAGTGAGAGGAAAAAAAAGAAAACTACGTTGAGAAAAATAATAAAGGAAAAAGAAAAACATAGATAACAACAAAATCAGAATGTAACAATATATGAGAGCTGAAATGCCAAAATAAAAACCCACACAAAACGAAGAAATATAGATGATACAATAGTATCATAAAACCTTGATATGAAATGGATATATTAAATTAATTAAAATATTTTCTTTATGTATTTTGCTTCAATGGTATCTTGTTTTGTTTAAGAAAGACAACAAATAAAATATGTTTCTAAGTAATTAATTTTATTGAAAGAAAAATTGAAGCACAAAAATGAAAAAATAAAATATAAAAAGGTAAAAAGAAAAAATGGCAGATGACATAAGTAAAACTAACTAAAAAATTAAATAGAGTTAATGTTCTGTATTTTCGATGCGAATAATTGCAATCCATTATTCCTATGAAGAAAATAAAAAAGTATTCAGTCGAATATTAGAAATTACTTGGGATAATAATGTGAAAGAATATATAAAAAATAAAATGCAATATTAGAACTATTCTATCTTGAATAAATAAATAAATAGTTTTAGAAAAATATTTTTACCATCATGGTTTAAAATCCATTCAGATATGTAATTCACTACATAAAAGTATTAAAAAGATGTACTAGTGACTAAGAAATAACGACAGATGAATAATTCATAACAAAATTATGTTCAAGTATTTTATACAGTTCAAAGGAATATTTGTACGAGCTAGATGACTGATAAGCATATATGACTTATAAACTGTTTGCACAAGTACTTGATCCAACTATTTTATTCACTGTGCATAGAATTTTTATTCGACCAGCTGATTAATGAACAAACGACAGATGAATAAATCATAGTAAGATTGTGTTCTAGTATTTCTTTTCGTTCGAAAAACAATTTCTAGAGCAGTTTAACATTCACAAACAGATGATAGATGAATAAGTCATATCAAGATTATGTTCTTGTATTTTACTTCGTTCGAAA